GGACTGTCCACCGATCAACATGCGGACGCAATCCGCGCGAAGGTGGTCCCTGTGGCTCTAGCCACTCGCGCACCATATTTGCGCAGATGTAATTCCATCCCCATAGCAAGAAATCGAGCTTTCTTGCTATTAAGCGCTCCTCAAAAGCGCGCAGCCCGTTCTGCGGTAGGCGAAGTGGCATCATCCGCAATCTGCTCGGTCTCGTCATCGCGTTCCTGGGGTTCGCTCGCCCGCTCATTCTACTTCCGCACTGCCCGCGCTTCTTTCTCTCTCGGCAAACTCTAATCGCCCTCAATTCCAAATCACGCGCACTCACTTCTCCCTCAATCAACAAGAAATCTCCTGAGCGACGACGTCGAGAATGTTCCGCAGCCAGCAGATGAATGCGCGCAGCGCGCACAAGAGATTGGAATCGCGAATTCAAGAATGGGACGTTCTCCGCCGCCCGGTCGAAGGTCATGGTCGGCTCTTGGTCGTGAAGAACGTCTCACTTGATGGCCGCGCCGGCTGTACGCTGGAACGGTCTTCGCTCTCACGCGCGGCTTCACGCTCCGCCGTCGTCGATTAAACTCTCACGCTCGAATTGGCGGATTTGAACTCCGCGAGCGTGTCACCCTGCGGACATGGGGGCGTAGCGCCGAAGGCGAGTTTTCCGCCTTGCGCGGTACACTTGTTCGTACCGCCCCTCGGCCAATCCCCCTCTGCCTTGACGCGTGTGTCCGCATGTCGGACAAAAGTTCAACTCCTGCCTGTGCGCAGGCAGGAGCCTCGGCGGATTCTCCGCCGGCGCGGAACTTGAACATCCTCCTGTGCACAGGCGTTCGCCTGTGCGCAGGCGAATTCCGTCCGCGGCGCTGCGCTGGCGCGGAAGGCGTTGACCGTGGTCAGCCGTCTCCTTCCAGTCTGTCCGTTCCTTGTCTCTCCGTCGGCGCTTCCGCCGCCGCAACTCCGTCCGTCCAAGAGCGCATCCACCCGGGCCGTCCGCATGGTCCGTACCGATTGGATTACTCTGGCGGCTCTTCCGACGTACGCGGCGCTGCGCTGGCGCGGAAGGCGCCGTACACTTTCTACCTCACAAGGCGCATTTCTAGGGCCCAAGGCGGATTTTCCGCCGACGCCGAAGTGCCTGTGCACAGGCGTTCGCCTGTGCGTAGGCGGACTTCGCGCCTTCCCTAACCCTACTTCGCCTGTGCACAGGCGAACGCCTACGTCCGCGCATAGGACAAAACTTGAATCCCCCTTCCGCGTAGGCGGAATTCGCGCCGGTGGCGAACTCCTTCCGCCGTAGGCGACCGCCTCCGTTTCTTCCAGTAGCGATAACTCCCTAAGTCCTCGTCCGTTCCAAGCGTTCTTGGGCTCGTTGGAATCAGCGCGTCGAGCTCTTTCCAACGGGATCCTAACTTGGTCAAGGCGCCCGAGGGTTGACCTAATTATGGGTTTCCCTACAGCCGCGGACGTAACATCCGAAGGCGGGTTTTGCGCCTTGCGCCGTAGAGATCCTAACTGCAGAGCTCGCAGGGAGGGTGGTGCCTGTCCTTACTGCGACACCCCAAATCCCAGATTCTACAAGATCCCTCGAGAATCCCCGCGATCTTCCGGATTCAGTCTATTTTGATGTACCGAAGGCTATTTACAATGCTGCCAGGGTACAGTTTTCCAAAAATGTTTTAATTTCTTCAAAATTGCCAAAAGTGGGGTACCACATATATATATATAGCAGCTGGAGTGAGGGCATCTAAAAATCGAATTAAAACTGTAACACAAAATGGAATGAAAATGGAAATAATCGTCTCCGTGAATATTCATTCAAGAAAAAGTAAGGAATCAGAGATGTGGCCTGCATTTATTAGCAAACTCCAGTACCCTTTACAATGACTTCACTATTAAAGCCAGAATTACCCTATGGAACCCTTTAGAAGAAGTACAAGCCGAATTACCTGAATCTAGTGTTAACTCTGCATGTGGGATAATATAAACACTGTTCTGGAATCAACAAAGTATAGGAAGCATGACAATGACGTACTAGGGAAGGATGGATTTAGTGCATGACAGGATAGATGAATATACAGTAATAAATGAGCGACAACCTTGTAATTGAGTGACACCGCATGAAAATTCTAAGTAACTGCTGTTAGTGCTCGCCTCAGGTAGCCGAGCACTCTTGACTGCAGATAATCTCTTGAAAGAATAGTCTACATACCTATGCATACTACCACCCAAGGCTCGTATTCCACAAACTGAACCTTTGAACTACTGTAGTTGAAAACGATGAAAAATTCCCCATTGAGACCACATGCAGTTGTGGTAACGCCGATTTACGATGTGGAATGACAAAGACGAAGTTTCAACCACAAACTAACCGGACTTGTAACTATTTAGAATGCGGATTAGAAACAGTAGGACAAGACGGTATGGTGAAGCAGCCGCAATACGGAAGATTTGGGCAATTTGATAAACACCGTTTCTGGTAAATTATCCTCAGAGATCCAGCAGAATTCAAGTTATCATTTCACGATGGCGGACACGCACGTCCCATCTGTTTGGCAAACTTTCCTGCAGCTGCATATAAGATACTCTGGATTGACCAAGAGATTGGGAATGAACCTATTCTAGTCCTCCAATATCTTACCATCAGCCCACTAGTGAATATCTCGATGTTGTTTATTCATGTGCTGGACACTGGACTTGACCTTTGACAAGGCTTCTCCTAGGGTCTTTCAAATCACATACTATCAAGTTCGTCAAAGGTCGTCCGATGAGCGGCGTCCAGAATGCATTTGTTTGTGACTGAGATGAATCGTAGAGCCCAGATGACAAGCCTAATCGCAGTTGTAGAGAGGATTCCGGGATGAATTAAGAATGCTCGCCATTGATTTCTTTCATTAAAAAAGCCTTCGAGAAATGTTCATGTGGGTCCCGATCCTACCTTTTACATATACCAGTTTCAATAGTTTACACTGATCTCTCACGCAAGTTCAGAACTTGCGGTGGTATAGAAGGATCATGAGTGATCGTTCAAAGCATATCTGCGATCTCATCGCTGGGATTGAGGGTGAAGATTACTTCCTCCTATCTCGGATCGCCATCCTTATAGCAGGACTATCTCGGAGGCTAAAGAACATCTTAGATATCAGGCCGAGTGGACTCTACTCTCGATTTCTACTCTATAAAAAAAACTATCTTCCTCGAAAGAATAGGTCCATTCCCAATCTCTTGGTCAATCCAGAGTATCTTATATGCAGCTGCAGGAGAGTTCGCCAAACACCTAGAACGTGCGTGTCCTCCATCGTGAAATGATGGCTTGAGTTTTGCTAGATCTCAGAGGAAATTATACTAGAAACGGTGTTTATCATATTGCCCAAATCTTCCGTATTGCGGCTACATCTTACAGTATTCACAATCTATATCTCTTATATTCAAGTATGATTATTTATTAATGTTAAAAACTTGGATATCAGCACAAAGGGTAATGATATCTAAATAATTAAATTTTTTCTCAGTGGATAGGCATATCCACATCTTCAAGATTCTCTTTGGCTTATAGTTTTAGGCGACTTGCAGTTGCACTTCAACTATTCAATATCTCTCATTGTTTCAAGGAACTAGCCTCAGGGTAACTTCCATTGTAACTTAATCATATGCTATATGCTCGTTGGCTTCTTGTACTGAAAAATTACAATCATGACATTAGGTCGGTTAATCCGCTCTATCTTGAATTATTTCATTGCATACAAAAGAACAGGTAGAGGACGAACCATCCATGACCTGGTCGATATAAACATCCATAGTCATGGGAGCTATATCTAAGCTTTATAGCAATGTGATTGTTCGATTATATTATGCACCACCTTCATATATCCATGTATCATTTCTATATTTAGAATCAAGAGTTCATGAAGCAATCTCATTGGGCATTGCATGCTTCTTCATAATTATCCAAATCATATGTTTTGCAAGTGAATTTTAAGCATGCTGATTTTGAGTGCACATGTTTTAGATAGCTTAATAACACATTTTGGACCTGTAATGAGACTCATTTTTCTTCTCTGATTATATTTCTTCAAGTTATATTTGGAACTCATTTTTTCCATAGATGTTATCCATGGATGCATTCGATGTTCGAAGTTATGTACGTAGTATTCATAGAATCAAACATGTAGAACACCGAGATGCAACATACTCATAAAATGAAATTTTTTCCTTTGAAACAAATCTCGCGAATGCACAATCGAATCTTGTACAGCATTAGTCAAGATGGTAAAAGTAACTTACTCTAATGATTGCAATCTGACTTTTTAGATTGGGTAGCGGATTCTATTTAAATTAATAATTCTAATTTCCATTATAATATAATGGAAATTCTATCAGATTAAAGATCATTCATCTGACATTCATCATGACACTCCACTGACAAACATAATTTATGATGCTAGTCAATAAATATTGAGTCTGTTTTTAAAGAGACCCTAGTATCTTTCCTAGTTTACTTCCATGAAGGGGCAGATTTTTGATGAAATTCAAACTGAACTTGATGTAACTCCGACAGAAAAACTTTAAGTCCACTCTGTTCTTATTTGTGGAAAAGGTAGAGATTTTATGGAAAGTAAAAATGAACTGTTTTACCTCGATAGTACTGTATTGAGACTAGAGTAAATGAGGGGTATAAATGTACAAACTCTCCTGCAGCTGCATGTAAGATACTCTGGATTGACCAAGAGATTGGGAATGGACCTATTCTAGTCCTCAAATACTTTACATTAGCCCACTAGAGTATGTCTCGATGTTGTTTATTCATGTGCTGGACACTGGATTTGACTTTGGACAAGGATACTCCCAGGGTCTTCCGGATCACAGACTATCAAGTTCCTCAAAGGTCGTCCGATGAGCGGCGTCCAGACTGCATTTGTTTGTGAGTGAGATGTATAGTAGAGCTCAGATGACAAGCCTAATCGCAGTTGTAGAGAGGATTCCGGAAGGAATCAAGAATGCTCACCAATGAAAAAGTCTTCGAGAAATGCTTACGTGGGTCCCGATCCTATCTTTAACATATAGCAATTTCAATAGTTTATACTGATCTCTCACGCAAGTTCAGAACTAGCGGTGGTATTAAAGGATCAGGAGTGATCGTTCAAGGCATATCTGCGATCTCATCGCTGGGATTGAGGTTGAAGATTACTTCCTCCTATCTCGGATCGCCATCCTTATAGCAGGACTTTCTCGAAGGCTGAAGAAGATCTTAGATATCAGACTGGGTGGACTCTGCTCTCGATTTCTCCTATACAAAAAAAAAGATTCTTTCTGGAAGTTTCTGGAAACCCAGTTTTACGATGGATTTCGGCTTGAGGCCACGATTTCTGATTCATATTCTTGTCATCTCACTTATAGCGTCTAGCATCATCAATGTCGCCCAGGGGCAATTCACAGCAGACGAGTACCTTACTCCGCACAATGTTGCCCGAGCTGGGCTGAATCAAGGCATACCGAGCCTGATCTGGGACACCACGCTGGAATCGTATGCTACTAACTGGGCCGCCACCAGAGCAGCTGCTGGTGACGACTGCGCTATCATACTATTTTCTGGTGGACCTTACGGGGAGAACATCGTATGGTCCCCTGGACCGAGCACCCCAGCCGATGCAGTGCAGACCATGGTCAGCGGGGAGGCATATTACGACTACGCAACAAATTCGTGCACGGCCTCAGAGGGTTTGTTATGCGCTGCTTACGTGCAGGTACCAAGCAAATTCTTCTCGTGCTTTTCTTGCCAGGTGTGCGCGAAGTTGTGTTTCCATGGCTTTGCGCCGTAGTTTGATTTTCAGAGATTTCTAGATCTTGCGAACTAACCACGAGACCAGGACCTGTATCAGCATAAAGCAATTCCCACAGATGTAAAAAAGATGAGGGGCTTTGTGCATTCTCTGGAAACTCATGAATGGGACAAGAAACTTGAAGTCAATTTGTGTGTCGCTGTGTGTTCCACGGTCGGGCGTGCAGTCGATGTGATGAGCCTCGCGGGTTTTGACACGAGTCGCACTCTTTGCAACAGGTCGTGTGGAGGAACACAACGGCACTGGGATGTGGGTCGGCCACTTGTCCCTCTGGTGCCTTGTTCTTCGTTTGCAGCTACTACCCCCAACCTCAGCCCGGTCAGCGTCCTTACTAGACTTCCTCTACGAATAGCTGCGGCCGTCGAGCGACTCCGAGCTTCATCTTTGCTGAAGTGGTGGACATATAGTACTGTAATCTCGGTACATTCATCACATGAACATCAGTGGGCAGGGATGAGAATTTCATAGGAGGGCACTTCATCGCTGCTGTGAGGATGACAGAGAGTGTAGTGAGAATCGTGTTTCTGAATACAGCGCATTGTATTGCTTCTACGCTTGCATAGTACTGACTGATATACTGTAGATGAGATTTTAAGTTGGGATAAATTAGTACAACCACTTTTAAGCATAACTCGAATCCCTGGTAGGGCATCGTGGTTGTAACTTGTTATCAGTCGTTGCGAGTACCTTGAGGCTGGGAAAGAGCAAACGTCTTCTCTATTGATAGCTGAGTGGATTTCAGAAAGCTCAATCGTAATACAGAAATTGGAGGAGTTGCGATTAATGTGAATCTTTTGTTTGGAAATTTATATTGTTCTTAATTATAGAAGAAGTGCATGGCGACCTTAAAATCTCTGGCAGGAAAATCAATTTTCATAGTCAAACTAACTTGAGTGATAAAGATCTGAGTTAACTTCTATCATATAAAATAACAGGTTTATCCTAGTGAACCTAACTAGACTTAAACTAGCTTGAGTTAAAAAAGTCTGATTCAAATTCTTTCATAAAACATAACAGTATTATCCTAGTAAATCTAACTGTACTTTAACTAACTCGAGTTAAAAATACCTGAGTTAATTTCTATAAAAGTTTAACATAGTGAAACTAACTAGAATTAAACCAGCTTAAGTCAAAAAGACCTAGTTAACTTCTGTCATATAAAGTAACAAGTTATCCTAGTCAATCTAACTAGAATTAAACTAAGTCGAGATAGAAAGACTTGAGTTAAGTTCTGTCATCTAAAATATGAAGTTAATCCTATAGTATTGCACACGTGCACATATTGCACACTTCGTGTGCAATATGTGCACGTAAACGGCCTGCATGTCAATACGCGCCAAGCCACTGATGAGGAGGATGCTAATTAGTATTCAACACTGTCTTCATAGAATGGACGGCCGCAAGAAGGCTCTCTTTGTTCGTACTATAGACCTTCGTGTATAGACACGCAGGTGTTTTAACACCTGCGGGTTCATGAACCACCAAATTAAATCGAAAGGAACAAGAACTTTACGGGGCAAAGCACCGCACTCTACTCTTGTTCCCTATTTTTTCTCCCTCGTTTGTTTCAGCATTTATATTTGGCATGGATCCTTTTTGTCAACCCCTGCATTGCCCTCCGGTGTAACTATATAAGAGCTGGGTATCAAGATCTACGCACACAAGGAATCCAGGTTTTCTCCCAAATGTGTCCAGTCTGGGATTCACAGTGCAATTTCTGCATTCAACTCGCTTATAGATTCGAGTAGACACTAAAAAGCTTACGTGAGATACCGTAAAAGTTCCAGTGATGTACGAACCACTCGCAACTTTATCCTACGACGATCCTACGGGATCTGACGACGTCTTTTCTTATTCTACAAGCACAGCTGCAAAAATATAATTTCCTCTATCCTTACCACTCGATGAATTCACTTGACCTGCACTGGCTCCTACCATATGGACATGTAATCGAAGAAAGACAGTCTGTTTCATCGCTCGACCAAAAGGGTATTTATTGGTTGATGAAGCAAATCCATCCTCTTCATTCCATAAATGTCCACCATCTGACACGTATATCGTTGGTTATGGAGAATTCCTGTACAGGATTGCCCCGACGTCAAGCTTTAATCCCGCTGAATCGATTGTGAGTTTCAGTCCTTGTGGCTAGTGCGAGTGAAGCAGAAGTTTAATTCAGTTGGATGATCTATACAAGTTTCCTATATGAATAGGAATCAATTGAATAATTGCAAATTGTTCTAGCGGACTGCATGCCATCATTAATTTTTCTTATATAGAAAAGGAGGCCGCTGGTAGCGACTCACCGTAATAAGAGATAAAAAATTGAGTTTGAGCAAGTGGTTAAAGTCCTATTATTTTTTCGGATAACTGGTGAGAAATGCCAGTCCTTAGCCTAAGCATTGGTGGGCGGGAATTCAATCTATTCCTAGTAAAAGCCAAGACTCGCTTGGTGGAACGGCAAACACGGCAGATAGAAGAGCGCATCCAGCAATACAATCTAGGAAGGAAGGAGACTCGTGGCTGGGTGCTGCTTCGGAAGCAGAGAAAGATGCGTAATTCAGTTGGACGATCACCACACACTAAAATTCGTTTCATGTATCTACCAGTGTCACTCTAAATTAATGGTCCTCTATGTACAATGACAGAAAGTTTATTCTCCACACCTCTGAATCTCAAATGATGTTCTGTAATTCTATAACAGTGAGGAGTACCAACATTTGGTTCACATCTGCAATCCAGCATCCGCAAAACGGAAGACACCACCTAATCAGCAGTAATGTTGATTTACTTGGTTGATTCAAATCTCGTCGTATATAAGTATTCATACAGATCTATCCAGACTATGACAAGAACTGAATATATGAAACTGAATGCTGGAGTACTGTAGGCCCACACAAACTTCGATTTCTATATTGAGATGAAATTCACGTTTAAGTGGCATCAAATATAAAGCAATTAAAACAAATTGATGCACACTTAAGAAAACAGACTAAAGATACACTATATTTTGAAGTCAATATATACTACCTATAATCCTGTAATACCGTAGATTCTTATAGCTTTAAATGATCAGAATCTATCAAATCAAAAGTTGGTAGAAGATGCAAATACTCCTAATCCACTGTAGCTTAATCATCTTCGTAATTTTGGTAACAATTAAGAAAACAAACCCCAATTGGTACTGAAGTTGTACTAATTTGAATTTAAAGACATGAGTTAAATCGTAACATATAAAGTAACATGTTAGTCATAATCAAACCAACTTCAGTGAAAAATACCTGAGGTAAGTTCTAACGTATATAGTAATAGGTTTATCCTAGTGAAACTAACTAGAATCAAACTAACTTGAGCTAAAAAGACCTGAGTTAACTTCTATCATTTAGAATAACAGTTTCATCATAGTCAAACTAACAAGATTTAAACTAACACGAGTCGCAAATACCTGAGTGAACTTCTATCATATAGAATAACAGGTTTATCCTAGTGAAACAAACTAGACTTGAAATTACATAAAATAACATTGTAATCCTACTGAAACTAACTAGATCTTAAAAAGAACTGCATTAACTTCTAACATAGAAAATAACGTTTAAATCCTTGTCAAACTAACTAGACTTGAACTAACTTAAGGACCGAGTCACTGTTCTCCTCATGTCTTCAAGTCAGAGTCTGTTTGTGAACATATCATCTGCTGGCTGGCTGGTTGGCCGCTGGGATCGATGTCAACTTGGTCACTGTAAGGTTCAGAAAGGAAGCAGATTGAACACCTAGCACAACCTTGGATGTTCGGTCGTCTGCAGTCCTCATAGCGTGTCGTTATAACATCACTCACAGTGCACCAATGACTCTCCAATGGAGCCAGCATGCTTCTTCTTCGTTACGGTTAGCACTCAGCCTCAGTATAAGATAAGGTGGGACCTGTTGACTGATGTGTCAAAGGACTCTGTGAATGAGTAGAAAACTGATGGAGGAGTTGCATGGCTCTCGTGATGAAACGGAGAGATGAAGTAGTCTCCCTAAGAGCTGTCCTGTGTAAGAAGAATCCTGACGGGTGATGTGGGGCAACTTGCTTCAGGAAAATCTGGGCAACGTTTACTTCAAGATTTTCCAATTTTCAGGGTCAGGGTTTCAGATCCAATCTTCAATTTTACACAAATTTCAATTTCAATTACAATGTATAAAAATATTTCGTTAAATGTGGACAAATTTATTTCTCTAATAATGAGCGTAAACGAGAAAGATATTCACGAATTTAAGGTCAAAGAATATCCTATTGATTGGATCGCAAAATGTTAGCAAAAAAAACTAAGTTTGTTTTGTAGTTTTGTAACCTGATACTCATGTGTGATTTTATTTTATTTTGAAATATATCTGACATTAGCACAAGGGACTTAAATCTAATCGTGGGAAATCTGAAATATAAAATATTAAGAAATAATTTTATATCTGAAATATTCAGAAATAATTTATTTTATTCTCTCAAAAGCTGATTTACACTAACACGAATGAAAGCTTAATGTTTATTAATAACGTTAATTGATTTTGGGAGAAAGAATATAGCATTAAAAATATATCAAGAAAAAAATGAAAAGTTAAAAGTTATCATATGAAATAACAGGTTTATCCTTGTGAAATTGAATACACTTATACTAACTTGAGTTAAAAAGACCTGAGTTAACTTCTATCATATGAAATAACAGGTTTATCCTAGTGAAACTAACTACACTTAAACTAACTTGAGTTAAAAAAACCTGAGTTAATTTCTATCATATGAAATAACAGATTTATCCTAGTGAAACTAACGAAACTTAAACTAACTGAGCTAAACAGACTTGAGTGATTTTCTATTGTATGAAATAACAGGTTTATCGTGGTGAAACTAACTAGACTTAAACTACCTTAAGCTAAAAAGACTGAAGTTAGCTTCTATCATAAATTAAACAGGTTTATCCTAGTGAAACTAACTAGAGTAAACCTAACTCGAATTCAAAAAGACATGAGTTAAATCATAACATATGAAGTACAGTAACATGTTAGTCATAATCAAACTAACTTGAGTTAAGAAGACCTGAGTTCACTTTTAGCGTATAAAGTAAACCAACTAGATTTCAACTAACTTGATTTGAGAAGACCTAAGCTAAGTTCTATCATATAAAATAAACAGTTTCATCCTAGTGAAACTAACTAGATTTAAACTAACTCGACTTTAAAAGACCTGAGGTAAAATATCATATAAAATAACAGGTTTATCCTAGTGAAACTAACTAGATTTAAACTAACTCGAGTTTAAAAGACCTGAGGCATTTTCTATCATATAAAATAACAGGTTTATCCTAGTGAAACTAACTATATCTAAACTAACTCGAGTTAAAAAAACCTGAGGTAAATTCTATCATATAAAATAACAGGTTTATCCTAGTGAAACTAACTAGATTTTAACTAACTCGAGTTTAAAAGACCTGAGGCAACTTCTATCATATATAATAACAGGTTTATCCTAGTGAAACTAAATATATCTAAACTAACTCGAGTTAAAAAACCTGAGGTAAATTCTATCATATGAAATAACAGGTTTATCCTAGTGAAACTAACTAGATTTAAACTAACTCGAGTTTAAAAGACCTGAGGTAACTTCTAAAATATAAAATAACATTGTAGTACTAGTGAGACTAACTAGAATTAAACTAACTTGAGTTTAAAAGACCTTAATTAACTTCTAACCTAGAAAATAACGTTTTATTCCTAGTCATACTAATTAGATTTAAATTTACTCGAGTTTAAAAAACTTGAGGTAACTTCGACCAGGACTCAGTCGAACTCATGCTACTCTCGGGGTCCGCGAAGAGCGAGTTGTAGGTGCGAGTCTTCAAGTCACAGGATGCTGCTTTCTGATCATCTGCAGTCAAAAGTTGATTACGCTGATGAGATTTGAAGAGATTGAGGCTGGGTAAGGTTCAAATGAACCATCTTCGAGTGCATGCATCCCTGGCAGCAGAACTGAGAGCAGTGACTTCCACGGTCAGTTCATGTGGGTCCGCCACTCGGTTCGTTAGCTTGATTAGACGGCGGCACACATGTCACCGCAGAGCAGCTCGTACCGATCACGAATACCGGTCTTCGATAAAAAATGCACATCCAGAAGCGAGAGTGAGTTGTATATATTGCCCGATTGTCGTCGACTCAGAAGTCAGGCATGTTCTGATGCTCTCCTGGACTAAAGGATTAATCAAGCGTCGTTCTGCTGATCCTTCTGTCCGTTGATCTGCAGCAGAATGACCTCTCTTCGAATCTTGAATGCCTTGAAGCCGATGATGGCGTTGCTTGCAGCAGTGCTGCTTCTGCAAGCAGCTCCATCACGGTCCGGAAAGACGGAGGGCGTGTTGGCCGAGTTGAAACACCTCGATCATCATGAAGACTCCCCTCTCCACAAAGCAGATGCGACCTTCGCGGAGCGGCTACACAACGCTGTGAAGAGAAGCAACGCTCGAATTGCGGGGTTCCAAAACATCATAGCACGTGGAGTTTCACCCAGAGGAGCGGACTTCGATCCCACCAGCGAGGAATTGAGCAGAGGCAGCAGTTTCGAGTCTCCTGTTTCCTCGTCCCCGGGAAGCTATTTCATGACCATTTCACTGGGATCCCCACCTCAGACGAAGACTGTGATCGTCGACACAGGAAGCGACCTCGTGTGGCTCCAGTGCGCCCCGTGCACTCAGTGCTTCCAACAATCGAATCCCGTCTTCGACCCGAAGAGCTCATCGTCTTACAAAAGGATCAGATTCTACAGCAGCTGGTGCTCCGAGCTTCCGCTCAGATACTACGACGGCGGATTCTGCACGTACCGCTACGGCTACGGAGACGGATCGACCACGGAGGGCGACCTCGCTACTGACACCCTGATCCTGACCACGACCGAGGGATCCAAGCACGCAGTTCCCGAGTTCACCTTCGGCTGCGGGGACAAAAACCGGGGGACATTCGCCGGCGCTGACGGACTGGTGGGCTTGGGCCGAGGAGCCCTTTCCTTCAACGAGCAAATCCGGCCGCTGATCGGCTCGCAGTTCTCGTATTGCCTCGTCGAGCTTTCGGCACCGGCGACGAGCGTACTGCTTCTCGGGGGCGCGTCGACCACCGTCGGGAACGGACTGAACGTGAAGTTCACGCCGCTGATGCGCAACCCGGTAGCTGACACATTCTACTACGTCAAGCTCAACGGCGTCAAAGTCAACAACCAGGTCGTGGGCGGGATCCCCGCGGGCGCGTTCACCCTGAAGCGCTCGGGGTCCGGCGGCGTGATATTGGATTCGGGCACGACGCTCACTTATCTCATTCGGTCGGCCTACGATCCAATTTTGCTGCGGCTGCGATCTCTGATCCAGTACCCCGTGCTGGACTCGTCGCACCTCGGCTTGGATCTGTGCTATGATTTGTCGGGCATGTCTCGGCCGGTGTTTCCTTCGGTGACCCTCGAGTTCCAGGGCGTGGATCTCGTTCTTCCGGCCGACAACTTGTTTGTGCGAGTCGACGATCAGGGCACGACGTGCCTGGCCCTCGCAGGCACCACGGATCTCAGCATCATCGGCAACATTCAGCAGCAAAATCATTACTTCCTGTACGATGTTGAGAACGAGAGAGTGGGGATTGCGGCTGTCGGGTCTTGCGCGAAGCTCGCGTCGAAGTCCATCACCCATCCTGCTGGTAAGAACGATCGAGAGGAATTCTGGGAGGAGCTTTGAAATCACGCCATGGATGGATTACGCGTGAACGTGGTTCGTCCACGATGATCATGGTCTCGCTGTCCACATCATTTGCATAAAATTTTCTTTCTCTCGTCTATCGCACGAACAAGACTTGTTGTCCCTAAAGTAACTACATTTCAGTGGACAATCTTCGAAAATCCAGTGGATCAGATTGAGAAAATGGTCTTCTAGTCAGGGGAGTGCTCCTTACACCTTCATATGGCATTCCGTCACCGTCGATCTAAGATCACGACCTTAATTACATGTATTAAAAAATTTCAATATCCCTTTTTTCCGAGTTTTGCATGGAGACCATGTGACCAGATTCTCACAACTCTTCAAAGAGTTGTGAACCTTGTATTTCCGGTATCGTCACTGTGACTCCTAAAGAAAATTCATGTTCTGACAGCTCAACCTCATTCGAGTGCACTGTCAATCATAGATACTTTGGTTCGTGACCAGTCGAATTTTAATCTTCATAAAAAGTCTCCGATATGATCATTGGTCATCGTAAGTGTTTCTTCTTTGTAGGAGTCTAAAGCTCCTCTAAGATAATGTGCATGACACAACAGAAACCCTCATTCATGGTTGTGTATGAGATGCCATAGACAACAGGTTCGGATATGGTCATGGACTACGTACTTTGAGTTGGAGATGAGCACTGAGGGGAGATGCCCTGAAACCATATGAATATAATAAACCCTAGAACACTAGGTATAGCAGCCATATACATGCTAATGTCCATGAGCTACAAACGTGACATACTTCGAAAATATATTATAGTTAAACCTACCTAGTTGTAACCCCATATTTTACACCACACGCAACATCTCATACATAGATGTGATATATTTACCATTCAGCATGACATGAACATCTATTCATTCATACTTGTGCAACATCGACCACTCAAAATGACATGAACATCGGTTGCTGTTAATTCACCTCAATTCACCTTAATTCACGTACAATTATAATATTTGATAGTAACATTGTCACGAGCTAAATGGTAAATGGTAAAAAGGGAAACATTCTCTTTCTGCTAATTTTTCAAAATATACAATATTTCTGCTCAAGTTACATGGTGCACATTAGTGATGAAATATTTATTATATCTATGTGCATATCTTCTTTAATATGCTGAATTGATGAGCATTATGGTGGAATTGATCTTTTATGAAAATAAAACGCAAACCGAAATCATGCGTCATAGTCAAGTATCACTTATATTTGATACTGTATCAAATTTTTGATAAGAGTCTATTAAGTATTTTATCAAATTCTGCATTCGTTTTATTCATAATGCATATATTTTCTATTATATATGTCAAATTTAAATTTCTGCATATATATATCTGAAATTAAATTCCTTTCTAAAGAATTAATTAGGAAAAAAATCCTTGAATCATTTTAACTTTTGTTGGACTCATGAGTTTTTGCTTATTATTAAATAATACTAAGGATAGGCAAAAAAAACATTTACCTGAAGCTCATGTTTTTTAGATCTAAGATGAATTTGATTATACTTCATATCTTCAGATTCTCTATGCTGAAATAAATTATTTCATGAATCAATTATCGTTATGAAAAAACTGTAATACTTTTCTTGCAAACACACATTAACTTTGACATACAAAGCACATCTAGTTTTATTTGTGGAAATTAAAATCGTAACCTGAATCAATCGGGTCAATCATTGAGTGAAGAAAGCTGTAAAAGTCAAATATGCAACATGAAAATTGCAAATGTTTCTAGCAGTTTCAGTCAATTTTCATTTATGATGGTAAAATAAGTAACATCTGATTAGTTATTGATCAGATTCACGTTAAGACACAGTCCATTCAGGTGCGGAATAATTTTATTCTATGTCAACTTCTTGCATGTAGTATATATTTCATATACTAAAAAATTACTTAAGAAATATAACAAGTAAATGAATTTTGCAATGATACTAGTTTGAATTAGAGTTTTATTATGAGCTAGAAGAACAGTGTACATACATGGAATGCATGTAAGTAAAAATAACTACTTCTAACATACTTAGACTTAAACTGTAGAATAGAGCACATAAGCAATCTAGAGTATGTACTATGTTCAAACTATGTTCTTCTATTTTCATATACAATTCATCATGTTTTTAATGGAATTGAACATTGTGGTACATACATACTTGTACTTACAAGTTTCAAAATACCACATTCGAGAAAACAATTCAAGATTAAAAAACACATACATGTATAAAGGTTTGGATATTCCGATATGATGGGAATCCACATCATCTTCAAGTATTTTATAAATGTTGCCCTTGTACGTGTTCTGTACTCTTGAACTGATGTATGTCTAAATCTAAACAATAATGGAATATATTTCCGTTGAAGATAAAATTCAGGATAGTGATGCGTGGGTGGAGTCCAAGAGCGTAAGTAAGACGCGCTGACACACATACATACGGAAAGGGTAGATTCTGCAAATCAGACAACAGAATGATGTGCCCAGTTTGAAACCCCATTGAAAGGACTGATCATGCATGAATTTGAAAGGTCACACGTCACGCATGGGTTTTCAAACTGTGACAAACACTGCTCAGATTCAAGCCATGGCATCGCGCTCAAGATGTACACGTTTGCCTCAAGGAAGTACAAATTACAGTTTGCGTCTTTTGGATTATAAAATTCAAACCAAAATAACAAGAAATATATTTTACATCATAAGAATACTTCTTGTCAATATATATATGATTTTATGTCAGACTAACAATTATTAAATTATTACTTTGGAATGGTGAGAATCTAACTGCAACGTGTTTCTAAAAGATAGAAAAGAAATCTTTGTATCCACAAAGGTTTCGCTACAGGATGACATTTCAGTATTCAACGCATGGAATAGGACTTGAAATGAGTTTGTAAGTGATTTCAGATCGTCATTTTTGCAATCATGCCAGAGTTTTGAACTTCCCAATCAAGCAGTGAATTGTCGCCCTTATGGAAAATCCAGTACTCGTTCCGTCTCCAAAGAAACATAGGGTTCACAACGAGAAAATCAACGTTACAAATCACAAATAAATTCACTATTGGGTCCTGGAATTATTTCATGGCTCGGCAGACGATCTCCTCACACATCGCCGAAGACAAAGTTCTCAGGTCTTCGGGTTCGTTTCTCTTGCCTGGAAGCCATTGATCCCCTCATCAACGTCAACAAACACTTTGATTTATTTTGCTCGTTTTATTTTCTCATCCTTTGAATGAAGTACGGTAAGACTCAGCAGTATATGTGGTGACAATCAACGGACACGCCCAAATGCCCGCCCCGTCTCAAATCGATTAAATGCACCGGATCAGACTCTCTCGACTGTCAAATCATATTCTTTGAGGGAGTGGAAGCATCGAATACTGATCGTGAAGACGGGAGCAGTGCAAGTGCAAGCATGGAGTCGGCAAAGAATACTACGAATCCAAGAGCAAAGGGAAGTGCGAGCGACGTGCCCGCAGCTGTGGAGCTGCAATATCCAGGCTCGTTGTATAAGATTCCAGGGTCTCTCGGTGAGCGTCATTCGATCGATTTGGAGTCTGATCAGATACCACCTCCAAAACGTCCTAGCCAGTCGGAGGAGCGTCCTGAGCACGATGAGCGAGCACAGGCTCTCCAAGGGAATGGACGAGCCTGGCGGGGCCTCGTTCCAGTATCGAATATTTTTGTGAAGCTGAAAGAGGACCTTTTTCACGAGCCTAAATAGAGATCGACCACGAGTGGATGATACAAGAGTCTTATGGGGGATTCTTAACTTTGCATGTCCGCGATATTCGTGGTAGATGCGTTGGATTAGTTTCAAGCTTGCCCCGGTTAGTCGGTCATGATCATTGGAAGCGTCTGCAGTTGCAGATTTTGAACTCTAATTTCATCCTAGTTCACAGTATGATGATGTTTTGGTGTTATTCTGTTGATCTATGACATAGTGCACACGTTGGGATAAAAAACGAAGAGAAAATCCACGCAACTTGCATAATTTGGTTTCTTTCTTCGTGAAGTGGCCTTCATCGGCTATATTTCATGACATGTCTTTTTTACTGTGGAATAGAGCTCCATGTGCTAAGTTTTCTACTTTGATCCATGCTGTATTATAGAAGTTATGAAGATGCTTACAAATGATACCATTGTTTCCAGCCGAGACTCCACCATGTTGTGTCAACCCTACATACTTATCAAGTACACATATTGTGTTCTCCTTGCCGTCAGGATCTTGAGTATTGTAGTTCCATACAAAATTGCACATGGTTCTTTTAACGTTGTCATAGTGAGCGGCAGGTTTTGGCTCTATTTGTATGGGGACATGCTATTATCAATATTGGACATCTCACGATTACTCGGTAGGTCAAGGTTATTGAAGTGTAAAACTACCCCTGTTCACGCAGTGAGGTGTTACGGCTGTGGGATGAGATTGGAGCAATGTTCCTTGATATTAGTGAGAACCTGAGAACTTCCCAAGACTTGGTTCTTTTTCCTATTCACATGTGACAGCTGAGAATGGAGAGTTGCGCACTGAGATCAGAGAAAGATTCAAGCACAGGACAAGTCTTCTTCTCTTGTCATATTGTTTTCATTCTCAAGAAGATATGGTGCCGTGCTTCGAACGAGTGAGAGGATGTGGTGAAGTTATAGAATATGCCGAACACAAACCGGTCAAATGTTCTTCTGTCGTCAATCGAGGCACAATAGCATGAAGTCACTATCTCTGGACGATTCAACTGCTAGAAACTCTCGGCGATATCATGTTATTGACCCTATAGATGCCTCTTAGACTCGGAAACTCAGGCAACCATTCAATTTAATTCGCTATGTCATGCAGTAAGTGCTCAGTAGGGCTCTTCCATGAATTGGTCGGCACATTCAAATACTCTCCACCACAAATCACCATCGTGATGGCTGCACCACGACCTGTGATCTCCTAAGGAAGTTGATTCGTTAGTAAATGTAAGACTGTCGTATCCGCAGGATAGTCATTTCGGTTCAAATGTTAAGGAGCA